TTTTTTATATTAATGATTTATTACTATGCGATAAATCCAGATTATTTTTTGTGTAGTCTTCTGCCCCCTGTTATCAGGTGTATCTGATTGTGTTCAATAGGATTTTGAGCAAAGTTTTTACCATTAAATTAAGCAAAAGGTGTCAGACGCAAAACATTTCAGAAACCGTATGAATCAAATATGAAACATTTGGCATTACAGGGTTAAAAGTAGGTGAGATTCTGGTATTGAAAGAGAGGAAACAGTGCTAATTCCAACATGTGCTTCCCTCTAAATGCAAACTGGTCCATACAGCAGACCTAGAAACTGCTGCTGGGTCTGGTTTTTATGGGCTACTGCTTCTTCTTCTTCTGGTTTCCTACTGGTGGTTGGCTTTGGGTGCAGTAGCGCCCCCTTCTGCTCTGGAGTGTAAACGCTTCCCTCTGAGAAAAAGGAGCAGCAGGAACCCAACCAACACAAGAGAACCGAACCGAGACAGAACCCAACGGTTCAGACGGGTTTCAGAAACCCTCCCATCCCTAAAAGGCACTCAGAAGAGCATGCTGTCTTTGGACTTATGGGAGAGGGATAATGCTCCATTATTTGAGCTTTAAGGAGGAACCTAGTGAGATCTGCCTGATGCAGAAAACAACACATTTCCACCTTAAACTCGACTCCTGCTGAGCAGTAAACTCCTCTCAGAGCGGAACAAAGTTTATTTATTTATTTGTTTGCGTTGTTTATTATCATTAGCGTGATGTTAGCCTTGAATTGCTAGCTGCGGCTAATGGCTAATAACAACACACCAACATTAATGAAGTACTGCAGGAAGCCAAGGATGGATATTCAACTCCCCCACATCCAAGTCGGCCATTTTGATTAAAAAATCCCACATAAAAGGCCCTCAGAAGAGCATGCTGCGCTTGGACTTATGGGAGATAATGCTCCATTATTTGAGCTTTAAGGAGGAACCTAGTGAGATCTGCCCGCACCCTGATGCAGAAAACAACACATTTCCACCTTAAACTCGACTCCTGCTGAGCAGTAAACTCCTCTCAGAGCGGAACAAAGTTTATTTATTTATTTGTTTGCGTTGTTTATTATCATTAGCGTGATGTTAGCCTTGAATTGCTAGCTGCGGCTAATGGCTAATAACAACACGCCAACATTAATCAAGTACTGCAGGAAGCCAAGGATGGAGATCCAACTCCCCCACATCCAAGTCGGCCATTTTGATTAAAAAATCCCACATAAAAGGCCCTCAGAAGAGCATGCTGCCCTTGGACTTATGGGAGATAATGCTCCATTCTTTGAGCTTTAAGGAGGAACCTAGTGAGATCTGCCCGCACCCTGATGCAGAAAACAACACATTTCCACCTTAAACTCGGCTCCTGCTGAGCAGTAAACTCCTCTCAGAGTGGATCAAAGTTTATCTATTTATTTATTTATTTATTTACGTTGTTTATGATCATTAACGTGACGTTAGCCTTGAATTGCTAGCTGCGGCTAACGGCTAATAACAACACGCCAACATTAACTCATTGACTGCCAGAGTTTTTTGAGCATTTTTTGAGTCAGGGTTAGGGTTAGAGTTAGAGTTAGGGTCAGGGTTAGGGTCAGGGTTAGGTTTAGGGTTAGGGTAACCCTGACCCTAACCCTAACCCTGACCCTAACACTAACTCTAACCCTAAACCTGACCCTAACCAAACCCTAACTCTAACCCTGACCCTAACACTAACTCTAACCCTAAACCTGACCCTAACCCTAACCCTAACCAAACCCTAATTCTAACCCTAACCCTGACCCTCCTAACCCTGACCCTAACCCTAACCCTAACTCTAACTCTAACCCTTATCCCTATCCCCCAGTGAGTTCTATGAGCCCAACGCTCTGATGATGGAGGAGGAGGGTGCTGTTATCGCCGGGCTGCTGGTCGGGCTAAACGTCATCGACGCAAACCTGTGTATGAAAGGAGAGGACCTGGACTCTCAGGTGGGCCTCACCTATATATAAATATATATACATATATATATACATATGTATGTATATATATATATATATACACCTTGCTGATTTTGCAGGTTTGCCCACTTACAAAGAATGCTTCTTTTTCCTCATCAGATGGTTAGCAATTTTTATAAATTCATATGATGTGATTTTCTGGGATGTATATATAAAATACATATATGTACATGGACAGGATCCAGACTCCCGTCCAGTTTATTTTGAAAATCCTCCGATTAAAATAATCCATTCCACTTTGCTGTGTTGTTCCCTGATATCCGGTCTTAAGCCCACAGCGTTAGCATTAGCGTTAGCAGTAGAGTTAGCAGTAGAGTTAGCATTAGCATCTCCTGACCCACAGGTCTGAGTCCTAACCATTAAGACATCCATGTTAATGCGGAGCTGTCAGTAAAAATGTCAGCTGTGTGGGATTATTTTGTCCTTAGGGAGGAAAAAGATGAAGAACTGGATGTAAAACAGAGTTAAGACTATTTTCTATTCAGGTTGTGTGTTTTGCGTTTTTAAACTAGTCCAAAATTGACCCAAACCAACCGAAAATTGACACAAACGGGGGTTAAACCGGTCCAAAACTGGTCCAAAGCCTCCCCAAACTGTCCCAAATCAGTCCAAAATAGGCCAAAAGATAACATGGAGGACGATTTCAAACGAAAAATTTATTTTATGTTTTTTTGTTGATTCCCAGTTTATTTTGCATGTATTTGATAAAAAAACTCCATTTGCCAACCCGTCCTACCCCACGGAGCTGAGCGCACGACCCAAACTAACCCAAACCAACCCAAAACAGACCCGAACTGGTCCAAAACTGACCTAAACCGGTCTAAAACGGACTTAAAGTGGTCCAACACGGACCCAAACTAACCCAAAAAGAACACAAACTGGTCCAAAAGGGGGCTAAACCGGTCCAAAACTGGTCCAAACCAAACCAAACTGACCCAAATCAGGCCAATAGATAACATGGAGGGACGATGGATTTCAAACAAAAACTCTTTTTTTTTTTTGTTGATTCCCTGTTTATTTAGCATGTATTTGATATAAAACTTAATTTGCCGACCCGTCATGCCCCACGGAGCTGAGCAAAGGACCCAAACTAACACAATCAAGGCCAAAAGGGACCCAAACCAGTCTAAAATGGACCTAAAGTGGTCCAAAAGGGGACTAAACCGGTCCAAAACTGATCCAAAGCCTACCCAAACTGACCCAAATCAGGCCAATAGATAACATGGAGGACGATGGATTTCAAACAAAAACTCATTTTTTTTTTTTTTTTATTGGATTCCCTGTTTATTTTGCATGTATTTGAAATGTATTTGCATATATTATAAAATCTTAATTTGCCGATCCCAAATTTTGAATTTCTTGTTCAAACTCCCCTATTTTATTGGCTAGTTGTTATCAGAGTAAATCCCTGTTCAACATGAGTATTTTAGGCTAAATAACGGGCTGCCAGCCAGTTTCCCATCAGCTTTATATATTATGATATATATTGAGGATAAGTAAAGCGAAAGGCTCCGTTTTTTTGTCGGCCTTCTCGGGTAGAACTCCCTAATGGTGCGTTCAAAGACCTCCTGACGTTTCTCAATCGTTTCCTCCTCAGGTCGGCGTGATCGATTTCTCGATGTACCTCAAAGATGGCGGACACAGTAGCAAGAGCGCAGAGGGGTGAGTGGTCAAAAAACATCAGCTTTATGTCCATTATTCTAATCTTTATTTGGATTTTTAAGATTTCCTGCCCTGTTCATTCTGCATTTTACATTAAAACAAAACGAGATGTAAAACAAAGGCCTGCTGGAAAAGGCCTGATTTTAATATCAAAGACATTTTTAGGACTTTTTTTTAGATATAAGTTGTATCCTCACGCTCCAGAACTTTTTGTTTCATTAATTTTTGTGATTTAAAACATTGAAATACAAGTTTTAAGGAGCAAGAATTAGAAAATGGGGGACCAGAGTATTTTCCAAAATGGACTTGGAGCTCTTTTGTTGTGGTCAAATAGACAAAAAACTGTGTTAGTTTCATGTGAAAACCTGGGCCTTCTTTAGTTTTACTCTTAAATCCTGATCACATGTTGGTTCGATCCGCTTTGATCTCATAAAAAGAGCAAAGGATTTTGGGTTTTCACTGTTTCAAAGTGTTGAACACAGAGATGAAAACACTCTTGTGTGAAAACCAGGTTTGTTCAAAGCCAAAACCTACAATCCAATTTCCTCCTCAACCTTTTGTTATCCTTCTCCTCAAAACTGATCTGAGCTGAGATAAAGAGCCAAATAGCCCCGACACAACAAAGAGACTCTTCCCTGAATCCTAATACTGCCCCCAAGTGGCCATAACAAACTATAATATGCACATTAAAGGGACATTGTGTAGTATTTTAAGTATTTAATTAGCTAAAATCATTTTCTTGGTTTATAAATGTTTCTTATTTGGTCTAAAATGACCTCTGACATGATCTGATTCTCCTTATGAGGAAGAGTTTCCTATCTGTATGTAAACAAACACGGAGGTTTCCATGGCGATCCGCCATTTTGAAAAACTTTAATGGCTCAGAGGGACATAAAGCACTAGTCTGCTCTAACAAAGCCCTTTTATCCAGAAATAACCAGATCCAGAACACATCACTATTGATTAGCTCAGCTCAGCTTTTCGGGCTGAGATTCAGACCGGAACATTCGTTTGCGCTAACAGACGTTAGCATCACAATATATAGCAGCTAGCATAAAGTTAACCAGCTTTTCTCCTAAAAAAACAAACAAACAGCCGGTGTAGAATAATTTAAACTACCTGTTGTCATTGTTAGGATCAGATAAAACATTTTTTTTACTTTACTACTCTCACTGTGTACTCTTTGAAAAAAACTTGTCATGTGAAAACTTCTGTAACCTTAGAACAAACAACACTAGAACCCCTAAAGTCACTGGTTTAAAGGTATAAAGGTTTAGAGAGAAAGTTAAGATTATGTCAACTCTGTCCAGATAACTGTGTTGGAGATGAATATCATGTTTTGTTTGAGTGTAAAAATGTAGAAATATGCCATTACAGAGAGAAGTATTTTCCACAGTATTATGTAAAGAGCCCATCAATGTTTAAAATGATTTCATTATATCAGTCTGGAAAAAAGAAAATAATTTGTTTTAAGTTGGGTGCCTTTTTTAAATGGGTCCTCCTATTATATCGATGATGTTATAATTTTAATGTATATGCTTTACTTTGTTCTGTTATATTTATTGTTGGTGCTCCAAACCATGTATATGGTCATGAGCAATTAAATAAAATAATTGAATTTAATTGAATTGAATAAAATGGGTGCAGTACTGCAGAGTCTCCAGAAGGTGGCACCTCTTCTATGTGAGAAAATGGAGTTGGCTGTTTCCCGTAGTTTGAGATCTGTTGGGCTCAATATTGATCCATAAATAAGACCCACCGGATTATAAGGCAAACTGTCAGTTTTTGAGAAAATTGAAGGCTTTTAGGTGCCTCATAGTGCGAAAAATACCGCATATATTTCTTTATATTAACTCATTGACTGGCAGCCATTTTCAGAACAGAGTCCCATACT